GAAAGAAGCGCTCATTTGTGAGACAGAGTAAGAGTAGTGCATTAGGATAAAGTATCAGATGGAAAATTTCTCGAATCTCGAAGTCCTTCTCAGAACTTAAGAAACTGCCATTGAAATCTGTATCCCGTTCAGCGCTGTTTGCCAAATTTTTTCCCAACACGCTCTTCAAAGTCCTTCGTTGCCCTTGTAAAAGTAAACTCGAATTTTATGTATATGTGTGTGTAAGTGTGTATGTGTGTGTTGTACTCTCCACATCTTTGAGTGGAGGTAAATAAGTAAGAAAGTGCCAAGTGATTGCATTACATTCTTTCTGTATTATCCTTCTTCTGTAATTTCACAAAGCCACACACAAATACACATATATATATATATATAAATATATATACATGCACACAAGCGTCGAGCAATCGTCGTCTTTCACTTGCCTTATGCAGGCATTTGGCGCATTTTTGCCACAGGCATTCCTTGCAAAGCATTTAAACTCCGAAAATCAGACAAAAACGAAAATCGCAGAACGACAGGCAAATGGCGTGAGGAGGCGAGCGGGCGGTAAAAGTGAAAAAATAACGTAAAAAAACAATAAAAAAAATCTACAAAAGAAAGTCGATGGTTTAACTGCAATGAAAGTGCCAACAAGTAACCTAGCAACGTGCAGCGGAAAAGGCAACAACAACAAGAGCAACAACAAGCTTGACATGGAAACCAACAACAATAAAAACTGTGGCCTCCCAGTAAGGACATGGCGAGATCGGCGAAACCAACTGCAGTAGTAACAACAACAACAACAACAACAACAACAACAATAAAATAGTAGTTGTAAAAGAGGCTGTAACTTTTTGCATTTATCCTTGTAGCATTTTGGCATTTAGCCAACATTGAATTTTGCCTAGCAGAAATGTGTCTTGTTTACGTCCTTTTAGTCTCGCTCCTCCAGCACTTCACTTCACTTCACTCTTCACTTCGCTCTTCACTTCACTCTTCACTTCGCTCTTCACTTCACTCTTCACTTCGCTCGTAATTCGCTGCTTTTCTTTGGGTGGCTAAAGCAGCTTGCCACTTTTTTCCCCGGTTTCTAACAGTCTCTTTTCTGCGCTCTGCTACTAGTCTTGTGCTGGTTCTTGTTGCTATTGTTGTAAAATATCGCTTATGTTGTTGTATACTTATTTTATACTAATACATTCATGCGTTTACAACTCAAGTTTTTGGACATCGCTTTGTAATTGCATTACCTACAAATCTACATACATAGATGATTACATATATGCACACATACATGCATACATGCATATAATATATATTGGAAATATGCATTTCGCCTGAAGTGCCGCCAAAAGTTGCAAGAAAACTGCTGTTCAGGGCAAAAACTAATTTTTTTTTAGTTAAATGCATATAAACACATATACACATATATACACACAAGTATGCAAGTATATGTATATATAAAAATAAGAATGTATTTTGCTGTCTGTGTTGGAATTTATATTTATTATATTTGTGTGTAGCACTCGTTTTCTCAATGCCGCATTTAAGCAAAAAGCACTCGATGACGTCACACTTGTCATTGTAGACATTGCAACGGCAGCATCCCATATTGACACGCACACATACGTATGCATCTAGATAAACATCAAGCTGTGGTGATTCATCACACTATAATATATAACAATTCTGAGCTGAGTTTACTGAAATTGATAGCTGCAATTTTCTCAAAGTGAAAATGGAAAGCGTTTTCAGAGCTGCCGATTTTTATGAATCGAAAAAAAAAATGAGAAAGAAGAGACAAAAATGAGTTAGGAACGACTTTAGATCCAGCTATATCTTCTTCTTCTCTCCTTCTGCTCTTCTTCTTCTCTTGTTCTTGTTGTCTTCTTCTTCCTCTTCTTCTTCTTCTTCTTATTCTTCTTCAGTTATTTAGGAACCTCTTACACGACCGTTTCATCTTCTCTTCACAGTTTGGCGCTATTCTGATACACCAAATGAAGTCAGTTCCTTCTCCACCTCTACTTCCACCGGTGGGTACTGTTTCCAAAACTTTCAAAGCCGTAGTGTTCTTATCCAACCGGATTACCAGAACTGGCCAGCATTTCACTGTCTCTTGAATCGCTGAACTGTCTCAATGGCGACGGTTGAGTTCTAAGTTGAGTTCTAACAAGATCTCTTTTAGCCGACTCATGTCCATACTTCCGCACCATGTCGCAGGACGGAAATCACGTAGGACTTATGGAGTTGAGTCTTTGTTAGAAGAGAGTGTGAGTATTGTTGCTGATTAAACTTAAGATTTTCATTTATTCAATTTTACATTTATGTTCTTAACCTTCATTTACTTTAAAACATTACTGAATTTTTTAAATTTGGTATCACTTTAATTTATTTTGTTAAAAGTTTCAAATTTTAACGAAGCGTTCATATATGCATTCATATACTTCATTTTAAATTTAGTTTGTACAGAACGTTTGAAGAAAGAAAAACGAAGAGTAAGTCTTTGAATTGTTAAAATAGTTCTTTATTTAAAATAATTTGATTTTAGATATTAAAACTGTGCTGTTGATTTGAATGTAAAAACTCAATAAACCGCTTGTTTGTAATACTCGTTTATGTTGATATTCTTTCGAACGTTTATTTGCTGCCGCAACAAGTATTATCTCTCAATAGTCTACCCAATCCAAAGTAACACTTGTTGACAAGTGTAATTTTGCATTGGATTTCACGACTGTCACTGTTGTTGGTGCCAATGCTGGTTCAAAATAGACGTTATTATTTTTAACTTTAATATTACGACTGTCCACAGAGATGTCGGAGCCGAGTCCATGAAAGCAATGACTGTCTTTTTGAGGTATTTCTTTTTGTTCTATTTTTCGTCCTGTCTTAGGCTGCTTTAAAGACATCTGAGATGTGATGTGTGTCGGTCGTAATTACATGGGTTTTTTTCTATATTAAGCGGAAGAGGAATATCTGATCAACTCTAAGTTTGGTCGATCTAAAGTCATACTGCTTAGGTTCAATCAGTCTACTGAAGTTGTGTTTTGGTATTTCACAAACTTTGAGGTTCCCTTTATTTTAGTTTGGGACGAGAGCACTTAGATTGCAATTGTCGGCCAAGTTTTTATCCGACCACATTTCCGAAAGAAGCTGATGCACGTGTCTTGTCAACTTCTTGTCGCAATATTTGATTAGCTCTACCGGCTAATGCTATACGAAATGCATCATAGTCGCAAAATGCTCCATGTTGTTGTTGTTGTAACCGCAAAATTATTCCCCAAAGTACTTTTTGGGGAATGTTGCGGGAGTGACAGTCCTTGGCCGGATAAAAATCCGGTTCGTTCCGGTATAGAGACCCGACTGTCGCGAGAACTATTGGATTTTAGTCGCCTCTTACGACAGGCATGCCTTACCGCGGGTAAATTCTTGAGCCCCTAACCCGCAGGGGGATTGCTCCATCATCATGGGTGGTGAATCAGGCTTGCCATCTCCCGGTGCTCGATTTTTACTGCCATTCAGCAGGCTGGAGAAATGTTCTCTTGAAAAATTTAGTTTACCCTGGACATCCGTAACTAGCTCACCCATCTGAGTTCTACAAGTGTCTGCTCCGATCTTAAAACCTACTGTACGTCACCTCATCTTTTTAAAAGATTTATGAGCATTTCACCTGTCGACCAGCTTCTCAAATTCTTCACACTCACGCATTTTGCTCCCCTTTCTTTTCAGTTTTTTCGTGCGTCGTGCTTATTTTTTCATCTCTCGGTACTTATTCCACCCCCGCACGATCACTGTGTTGCGAGGTAGGCTTTTTTCTCTGCTGCAGCATGGTAATCCCTATCAAATCATTTGCAGTTTGAAGTACCGCCTCGTTTTGCGATTATACCAAGTTTCTGATTAGAGCTCTCAGTGAGCAGGAGTACAAATCGAGTAGAAACCCGCCCGGCTGTCTGTTGTGGTTGCAGTTTTTTGAAGCCGAGCCTTTCTTGTGGCTGTTGGCGGGCGTTCGTTGCTACACAGAGACGGTTCCGCGTATATGTTGGATCCACGGAATTTACATACGTCAAAAATACTGGAGACATGTCGACAGTCTATAACAATGTTGTCGACCTTGTTGTGCCGAATATAGCTTTTTTGATAACGCTAGCTTTAAAAGCGCCCGACACGGCTTTGACGTCGTCATGTTATGACCGCTTTGTCTTAATTCGCAGCGTCTTTTACAGTGTCCGGGGCGTTTTCGCAATGATAATTTGAAAAATTTCGCTCTGATATGGATTTTAGCGGGTCGTTTATCTACCAGGTTGAAAGTCAAGACCCGAGATGGAGTCTCTTTCCAAACGCAAATCCAACACAAACTTTCTTTCGTTATTGTTCTCCCCATCGCACTTGCTAGATGGTCATGACCATAGCTTTCGATTTTGCATGCACAACAATCAGCTGATAAGCGCCGTTTTCCCAATTAAGGGACGTAAGAGACTGAGAGTTCCAGGCACGCGCCACAAAACGTGATTCTTTAAAAGCTTTGAGGGACTTATTATCAAATTGGGAGCACCTCATGTACTGCTGGGTCTCAAAATCCACTCTAAAAGCGCAGACTTTTTGCCTTCTCATTTTAACTCTCCTCCAAAGGGAAGTTTTTTCGAAACCCAGAAGACTCTTGATCCGATCCAAGTCGTGCGTCAAAAACTTTTATCTCTTGCATAGGCCTCTCAGCGGACCCCATTCTCGAGATGAGGGTTTCTTTAAAAATATCGAAATACTTGAAACTCCTGCTCCCAGTGGGAAAACGCTACCAAAATTCTGCAGTTAAAGATTTAATTTATAACAAGCAAAGAACACAAATTAAAGCATTGACAACTGGAAATAATTTATGCGCATAGATAATTGCTTTTGAGCACCCGACTTTGCGAGATTAACTTAATTACTTATTAATGAGTCTCCTCAGCACGTTTTACTGCAGCACTGCAGTGTGGTGGCCGGTGAGCTGCTCAAGCATGCATATCTATATATAAACCGCCATCACACGGAGCATTCAAAGCATTTTAAGACTGTTAAAGGCAAAATGCTAAATACAAATTCATTCGCAAAGGTGCTCATATTCATCTGTTTGGTGGCTGAAGTCATACCGCAGGAAAATGACTCGGCAGTAGTGCGACCAAGCCCACGTATTGTCAATGGTGCATTTGCGGCCAGAGGTCAATTCCCCTACCAGGTATCGGTGCGTGTTAATGGTGAACATTCTTGTGGTGGTGCGTTGATCTCTCAAAATTATGTCGTCACAGCAGCACATTGCGTATCCAGGTAAGGAATATCCGAACTCGTTTCTCACCACACTCCAGCAGTTTTACCAATTTATCTAAACTTTCAGTATTCCAGCCGATTTTCTACAGGTTCAAGCTGGTTCTCTTAATCGCTCTACATCCGGTTGTACCATACAAGTAGAGCGTGTAATTTCCTATCCCTACTATAATTTCGATAACGACATTGCGCTGCTCAAATTGGAGCAGAAAATTAATTACACCGCTGAAATTCAACCAATAGGCTTGGCTGCTCGAGAAGTGGCAATTGGTGAGCAGGTTACCATTTCTGGTTGGGGTCGCACAAGTGATGGTGGTCCATTCTCAGAAACTTTAAAATATAGCCGCTCGCTGACAACTTTGAGCAATGAACAGTGTACCCGTGAATCTGGTCCGTTGAGCTATGGCGTTCTGTGTCTTGCTAAACAGAGTTATAATAAAGGCTTCTGTGATGGTGATGATGGTGGTCCGGCTGTGTACAGGGGTGTGCTGATTGGCATTGCCAGTTATAATACCAATGGTTGCGGTTCTTCTAAGCCAGATGGTTATACCAAGGTGTCTTACTACAGGAGTTGGTTGATTCAAAACTCGGATTTAGGTGAAACAACTGCTGGCTAAAAAAAAAAGTTGGAATATCTTAATTGAGGCTTTAAAGCATAAATAAAAATAATACAAATTTCTGTAAAGCATTTCAAATATTTTGTTTAAATTTACCGTTGCTGTAAGGCTGGGTTTTAAAACGAAAAAAGATTTCTGGGCGCAACCTGTAGGACAACAAAAATATAATGATTATCCTAATGATGTTTACTTATCATAAAAAATGCTGACAAAGTAAAAAGATTTTTTAAATATTATATTGTATAAAATTAAATAAAAAATTAAAAAAAAAGAATTTAAAAAAATTTAAAAAAATATAAACTGTTTTTAAAAAATATATTTAAATAAAAGCTATAATTGGTAAAGATTTTAATTTAAAAAAAGTTGTTAAGCAACATGTTTATGAGGAAAAAATATTATTAAAAAATTAATATATATAGCACAACTCTTTACTGAGAGATAATAATAAATGCTGACCAAAATCATTAAAAAAATTATTGTTAAAAATAACTAAATAAGAAATTATTAAAATCAAATATTTTTTAACAAGGACTAGCAAAAATATTTATCAAAGAAAACTCTGCAATAGCAAAAATTATTAAAAAAAAATTCACTTTGAAGCCAGTTGTCACACAAAAGAGGGGAAAGTTTTATTAAAGAAAAAAAGTAAAGCAAAATAATAACTGAGCGTAAGAAAGTGCTGCCGAGCGCATTTGAAATTACCGCACAATAGTCATACTAAAGAGAAAAGTCTCACAAAAAATATACGGATAAAATACATGGTTATCCATTTTATTGTTTCGAAAATAAATGTGATTGAAATGCATTTATGTTTTTAAATCCAACGCGTAGTCCTACAAAAAATTCCAATTGTCATCACGAAAACCAGAGATTGAGCGACCGGAAAATTTCTCTCCCAATAAAGTTTTTTTCGCTTGTGTTGCATGAGAAGAGGCATCATCAGAGATTGTGAAGAACACGAATTCACTTGAAGGCCAAAAAAGAAGATCATAATCCGCAGAATTGACGGTGACAGTCCCATGGGTGTCATTTTTAATCACACCTCCAGACCAAAGAGCGCACAAGACATTAGGTTTTTTTTTTTGTAACAGGCCCCTCTTTAATCATTTGATATTTCTCGGAGCGCCGTAAGCGAAAATTTTGCTGAGTGAGAAACGTGCCATTTACCTGAAAAAATTTGTTTCGAAAAATCTCCGTACTGCTTGTTGTTCGACAACGCAATCGACGTATGCATGGCGTTGTGGTCATCTAGCATCGACCACTGAGTTAAAGCTGCACTTTACATGACAGAATACGCTATGGTGTACCGTAAAAAAGTCTTAACTCTTGAGAATGTCGGAAAGTAGATAGATTAGATGTTGCGGCTACACTTTCACTTACAGCAGCGATATTTGCGATGAAGCGAGCAAAACTATTGGGCTTTACTATGTAAATTTCTTAAAATTTACCAATTATGTATGAAAGAAATATGATAAAGAGACTTGAGTTTGATTACCGTCAAATGACAATATTTAATTATTATTTATTATAATTAAGGTTTTTTTTATTTTCAATTTATTTTATTTTATTTGGTTTTTTTTTTTTTGGTTTTTTATTTATTTTATTTTACTTTATTTTATTTTATTTAAGTTTATTCTATTTCATTTTATTTCAATCATTTTATTTTATTTCACTATATTTTAATTAATTCTATTTATTTATTTTTTTGTTTTTTATTTCATATTTATTTATTTTATTTCATTTAAATAATTTAAGTTAATTTATTGTAACTTTATTCTATTTTAATTTATCTTATTTTATTTTATTTCTTATTTGTACTCCTATGTGAGTAACATAACACATATCGGTTGTTAAGAAAAAGATATATAAAACTATTGCTAAATTATTTTATAAATTATTTACAGACATTTACAATTCAATATACAAACATGAACGAACAATTGATGCTGTTATTATTTTTTTTTTTGTACACTCAAAAGCTTTTGACTTAGTTGGAGCTCCTCAAACATCGTCAGCAATGTTTTGAGAACCACTCCTGTCGACGAAATAATAATCGGTATAACTATAACTTTATCCAAATGCTTTACTTCTACTGCCAACTACTGATATTTCTTGCTCTTTTCGCCATAGAATTCTTGAAGATTATGAGAATTAGGTATGCTGGCATCAATAGGAAGAGCTCTCTTACCAGGTCTGATATGCTGGACACACCCATCTGTCAGAATCGTGCGGTCTCAGTATATTTTATATTATTGGTTCTCTAAGACTGCAGCAGGCTTATCATTGTGGTAGGGCATCTTTTCTCTTAGTAGTTTAGAACGTATAGCAAGACTCTGTTGGATAATTTTTGCCACGTTGTTAAGCCGCGTCAAGTATTCAGTAGCCGCAAACAAATTATTTTCTTTATTTTATTTTATTTTATTTTATTTTATTTTATTTTATTTTATTTTATTTTATTTTATTTTATTTTATTTTATTTTATTTTATTTTGTTTTAAAATATTTAATTTTATTTTATTGACTTAAAAAATTATAGCAAATTATTTTAAATAAAAAATACGAAAAAATTAAGCTAAATTTTCTAATTGCTGTCGCTTCTCGGCAGAAAATGTCAACTCCTCCGAGTGTATTACTAATATGAAATTAAAGCTTCTCATAAAAATTATCAGCCGTTCGAGGTCAGCTTACTATAAACTGTAGGTTCCTCCATTTGTTTGTAAAAGCATCATGGCGCAAAACCACAAATTGGAGGAGGAGCTCGTCCGAAAAATCGCTTCAGCGTTTAAAAAGCCCAAACATAATATATATATATATGTTTGTTATATATTATTACATTATTTTATTTTATATGATTTGATTTCATTTGATAATATTTTTTCTTTTTTTTTTTTTTGAATGTATTTGATTTTATTTTAGTTAATCTATTTCTATTATTTTTTATTATCTTGTTTAGTGTTTTACTTTAAATATATTTTTCATAATTTACATTATTTGATTTAATTTTTTTTTTAATTTTGTTTTATTTTGTGTTATTTTGTTTATTTATTCATATTTTTTTTTTTTTTCTTCAATTTTTTCACGCCCTAATTACTTTTTAATTACACTTTTCTCTATAAATTTCACAAAAAACCCGAGTCACATAGCGTTGTTTTTCAGTTGAAATTTTAGAACTGGTAATGGCGCGTGAAAATTGTTTCGTGAAACTTCTCCTTCTCTGCGCTATCGTAGCGGCTGCGGCCATCGAGGACTCCTCCGACCTAAGACCCGTACCACGTATAATAGGCGGCCAAGTTGCTGCCTCCGGTCAATTCCCCTATCAAGTATCCATCCGTTTGGGCGGACAACATATCTGTGGTGGCGCATTGGTTAGTGAAAGTTATGTCCTAACTGCAGCACATTGTGTATATGGGTAAAATATGTGTTTTTGAAACAAGTGTGAATTGTATTCATTTCTCGAAATTCCTGCAGTGTACCATTAAAGTACATCACCGTGCAAGCTGGCTCTGTTAATCGGATGGAAGACGGTGTTATTAGCGAAGTAAGCAATGTAACTGTACATGCCGAATATGCTTTCAATAACGACATTGCTGTGGTGGAACTGAAAAAACCACTAGAATTTACGGATCTTATTCAAGCTATACCGATTGCTACATTAGAAGTGCCTGCCAATCAATCGGTAGTTATATCCGGTTGGGGACGTATACGCGAAGGTGGTCCACTATCTCCAAAACTTATGTACAGCAGATCGGTCATGGTCTTGAGTGCGGAACTGTGTGCCACATATGAAGCATTTTCTGATGAGGGCTTGCTATGTCTGGCTAAATCTTCAGGCAGAGGGTTTTGTAATGGTGATGATGGTGGCCCTGCTGTTTACCGGAACTTTCTTATTGGTATTGCCAGTTTTACTGATACATCTTGTGGTTCAGGCAGGCCAGATGGATACACAAAAGTGTCGTATTATGCAGATTGGTTATATTCAGTGATGAAAAAGCAAGTACCCAATAGTAAGCGACGTGTTTCGACATAAAATAAACAGCAAAATTTTCCGAATCTTTGAATATTCCCATAAATAAATGTTATTTTCTGTCAATCATTTCACCTATTTCGGTTTTGATATAGCAAAATTAAATAATAAATTTATTTCAAAAGTTGGAAATTAATTGATTTTCATTATTTTTTTTAATAAATGAGAATTAAAAAAGGCTGGGAACAGAAATTTTTTCAACTTTTCCTAATCTAAGGTTTTTAGCGCTCAAAACAGCGCAGCACACACCTCTAAAATCTTATTTTCGCACATATATATTACACTTACTTACATTTATATCTCATTTCTGCACATAAGTACACACGTACATACTTATATTCTTCGGGACACATTTACCTGCTGACTGACTGGGTTAATTAACGTCGACGTGAGCCAATTTCTGTTGCCATACTTTTTCACTGCTAATTTGTATTTGTATGAAAACAAAAAGTAAATAAACAAATGGCTTTCAACACAAAAACACAATTAATTTTTTCGTCTGTTTAATGCAAATACAACTTTTTTCAAGAATTTTTTTCTCTTTTTGTGCTTTGCAAAAATAAAACCTGCGGCATCACACGAGTTCGCCGAGAAGGTAAATCCCAAAAGGAATTCGCGCGGTGACTTAAGTCGGCGTATATGTTAGTGAGGCGCTTATTAAACGTTAAATGAGCATAACTCGGAATTTAGTATTTTTCTAGGTTTATGTTAGAAGTTGAAATTTAAGAAAATATGAATTTTTAGCGTCAATTAATATAAAAAAAATGTCAGTTAAAAATCATTAACAAAAAAAATTGGCTCCGAAAGTTTAACTACGACTTAATCGGGGAAACTTCTAATTGCGTTTTCAAAAATTAATTTTATTTTATTATTTAGCAACTTAAACGACTCGTATCTGAAACGCAATTTCAAAGCACGAAGCGTTGAAACCAAGTGGCATAAGGTTGCAGAAATGTCAATAAAAAAGAATATAAAGATGATACTGATCATATTTATACTAATAACAGGGGTTCCTACAGATTAGACAAAAAAAAGCGAAGCGAACTGAACTTGAAGTTGTAAACGCTATAATAATAATAAGAATAAAAATAATAATAATAATAATAATAAGAATAAAAATAATAATAATAATAATAATAATAATTTGACGCTTTGTAACCGCTGAAAAATTCAGCCTCCATCTGACACTACAAAGTACCATCCGGTCTATATGTAAGGCGTGATAGTCAGTTAGTGGTACCTAATTTTTCTACAGTTTTAATGTTATTGAAAGTATAAATTAAAAAAGAAAGCCAAATTCCCACTGAGAAACTAGTTACAAACTAGTTTATTTTGGGTCAGTTGGAGACTTTTCGCAAAAAAAAAAATTTGCTATATTTCTTGCATTGCCTTAATATTTTAGTCTTTATATTTCCCAACTACAGCTGGTTTCATTTCTACTGACCAAGTAGTTATTGTCTAGTTGATTCCGGACTAGTTCTGCTTTTTTATTACATTAACATATTTAGTTTCTTGATTGTTTTAAAGTTTTTTTATTTATGATTTTTAATTTAAAATGGAAAGATATTTTAAATAAAAAATAGAATTGAAATTTAATTAACTGACAAATATTTATTCCTCTTAAGACCACAAATCTTTTATTAGTGCTGATATAGCGCTCTCTTTATTTAATTAAAATCACAGATACTGAAGTTATGACATTTTTAGTTCAACACACAAATTTCCATTTTTCACTTACCATTGTGTATATGTACCGTTAAGCACATGCGACAGCATTAAAACGCGCTTAAACCAACGAAAGCCGGCAAAGGAATGGGGCAAAGGTAAGGCAAAATAGATGGCCCCAGGCATGACCGGCAGTGCAATGGGGAAAAATGTGCAAAAAATGCGAAAAATGCGAAAAATGCGACACAGTTGCGCTACTGCATGGATGAGGTAGTGAAAGTTCGTATATGTATGTGTGTACGTGTGCGTTAGTGGATGCTGGTGTTGCACTTACAAGTTAAGCCAGCGAGAAATAATGGTATGCTGGGCCATATAAGCATGTAAATATGTAAGTGTGCGTGCGGGCAGCGTGTCTCAAAAGCACGAAAATTAAAAGTAATTAAAGGATAATAAATTTTTCACATAACAGCAGCGCCATGAAAGAGTGACCGTGTCAGAATGCGGTCAAAAATTGGCAGAGTTTTAAGATTTTTTTTTTGTTTGCTTTTTGGGATAATTTCTCTTTTTTTGTTATTACATAATGTTTTTTTTTTGTTTTTGTTCAAACATTTCTTGATTTTCTGTGGACGTTATATTTTTTATTTTATTTTCCTACTTGTTTGTGTTGTTCTTGTCATTTTTTTCTTTTGCTGCAATAATTTTATCATTTTCTTCGCTGGTTCAAATGCGACAGCTGACGCCAGCTAGCGTCTGCGTGGCAGCCAAAAGCCAAACGTACGTATATACTCGTACATATATATATGTAGCTGCATATTCTCGAAAAGTTTGCCAAAATTAGCAAATATTTTTAAGAAAGTAGTTTTTATAATTTCACAACAAAAACAATAAGAAATACTCTTTACCTCTCCTCCCAAAGAGCTGCATATTAGCCATTAAAATGGAAACAATGTGATCTAAAGACCAGCCAGCGGTAGCAATAAATTTTTCCCCCCACCGCAGCAACAAAATTTCTAAAATTGCTGCAGGCTTTCGCCACCAATTTTTGCCATTTTGAGCGTTTTTTGCTTTTCGCCATCGAAAACACCACAGAAGTGCTTGGCACTCTTTTATTGCCGCTTAAAATTTCAAATTAAAAGCGCCTTTGCGCACATTTTTATTGCCTGAGACGCATACACTCACACGCACACACACACAAACACACATATATCACATATTGGGCACATAGAAATAACTGTGGTGCACTTTTTGGCGCCAAAGCTATCCAACACCTGCTAAATGCAACTAAACTAAGTGGGGAGGAGGTGAGATGATATTAAAAAAATTAAAAAAAAAAACGAAGTTTGCACAAAACATTGCTGCACAACGCACGGCACAATTTTCTTCCGGTACCACGTACCAAACCAACATTCGTATGTTGACACAGTACGAGAGAGAGAGAATGTGCCACATGTATGTGCGTGTGTGTAAGTGTGTTGGGAAAATGTGACGCGTGTGTGCGTTAGTCACAGGCTATATTTAGTAAGGCATACCTAAGCGCACACATACGCATGCGTATTTATGGATATGCAACTTTTGAAAATATGCATGGATATATTTCTGTACTTGTATGTGTGTGTGTATGTAAGTAGTTTTTGACACAACCGCATTAGCACGCCACATTTCAATGCGCCCAAAAAGATTGCATGCAGAATTATTGTTTGTGCATGTGTATGTAAGTACATACATACATACACATAGCTCACTATATAGGCACACATGCATATCACAATATCCTTGGTGAAGTGTGCTGCACCAAATGCAGGCGCCAAAATGTAGGCTATAAGTTTAGTGTTTGTGGAATTTTAAAGTAGTTCCTGTAATACCTTGCGTTGTTGGTGACCTCATTACGAATTGAAATGAACTTAAACTTCTGTGAATAATGATTGCTAGGAAATAACAGTTGGGTGGAGAAACCGTAGGTTATAATATTTCGATGGGGAACATGGGTTTGGAGCATTCAAAGCACAAATTTAGGTTCATTTAAAATTACTTAAATATTATGTTTTATATAGAGCTGCATAAAAAATAGAGTTTTTAAAATGTTTTTAGTTTTATTTTTGAATTTCTTAAACTGATTACGAACTAGTATCGAAATGTACTAGGCCCCAACTGGTAATCAAGTAATGAGCTCAACTTCATTCGAAAATTTTTCTAGAACAATACCATTTTACATATTAGGTCAAGTAAAAAGTTTATTCGGTTTTTTAATTGATTTTTCGAAATATGATAACTTTGTGTACATTTGTCCGATTTAAGTCAAACTTTTTCGTAAACTTGTTGCAAACGAGATGCCAACTTCAATATACCCCTCTCGTAGAAGGCGGCGTTCCTTCTGGCAAGCACTGGGACAGACAATTTTCACAGGCCTTTCTTGAGGCCAACTTATTACCATTAAAAGCGTTCGCTATGGAGAGGAAAGGAAGGTAATCACTTGGTGCTAGGCCCGGACTATAAGGTGGGTGCATTATGACCTCCCACCCGAGCTCCTGGAGCTTCTGGGCGTCACCAAAGACCTGTATGGCCTGGCGTTGTCCTGATGGAACACAATTCGGCCTCTGTTGATGAAAGATGGCCTTCCAGAGGACCAGTTGTTAGCAGTAAAGGGCCGAATTGAGCGCCGTATAGTATGACATGATCCGACTCGTAACTCTGATACTATGGACAATAACGCCATCTCTTAGATAAAAACGAACTTCATATCGAGCTCCTCCCCCAGTTAGTGACTTTGCGTATTAATGTTTTTCCAAAAAGTGGAGGGACTTACAGTTTATACTAAGCCGTCTCCGAACGACTGATAGTTCTTTTAAGAGGAGCCTTTATCTTACGTCAGAAATATGTTCGGAGGGGCTGACGTTCCCTGCCGAGGGGTGGCCGGAATTAGAAAACTTACCGCGGCCACAACCAATATACATGACCATATATAATTCGGTTGCTGAGCTTTTCGCCTGAGCTCGATTTCCTGTTCGTGTTGTGCACCTTTGAGTTCTTCGTCAACAAATAGAAAGACCTTCTCTGCTGCTTTCGAAAAGAGGAGCCAATTTTTTTGACAAGCATTTTTTATTACATTTCAGACAAAAATTTGAAGGAGTTGGTACTTCTCATCGAGGGGCGATCTTAATCAGAAAACTTAATTTATATTTATTAAATTAGATTTCTATAAATTTGAATGTTAACTTGACTAGAGCACGATGCCATGACCATCTCCATGCCGATGCCTACTTCTGAGCACACGTTTAATACAGCCGCCATTTTCAGTTCACTACTGCTGTTCTTTTTTAGTGCTGGACCGGCTGGTGTGAAGTCGATCCAGACTTTTTAAAATCTACCAAATAGAGGAGTAGTTTGTTTTTAAATGCTTCTTTGGAAAACTACAATTTTGAAGAGACGCCCGCTGTCAACACTTTAATAAGGACGACTTGAACCCTACGTTTG